TTAGAGGGATTGTAGAGGAGAGTTTCTCTGTGATTTTAGTGTCTCTAGGTGCCTGAGGAGAACTTTCCTGAGGGGGACTTTTTGTGGGTGTATAACTCAGACATCTGAAACCCAGTCATAACCAAACTTGGAGGAATTGTCTGAGGACGCTTCCCGGCGCTTTTCATCTCCCTAGGTGCCTAGAGGACCCTTTTATAGCCAAACAAACGGACAAATCAAAAATCGCTAAAAATTCATTTATTTGTATTCATCCGGGGCATTGATTCATACAATACGAATAGATGAATTAGCAAATTTTTTGAATGAATTTGGTGATTCGTTTTTAATTCATGCCCATCTCTCACCTTAATGCCTGGATAGGCTCCTAAGGGGAAACATGGTCTTTGGAGTCAGCTTGGACCCAAGCTCTTTAGGGCTTGATAGGTTAGAACTAGCATTTTGTATTGTTCCTGGAAACAAATCAGCAGCCCACTGAACTGCTGTAACAGGGTAGGAAGATGTGACCCCTGTGGCCTGCCCATCAGCCATCTGGATGCTGTGTTTTGGGCCCATTAAAGTTTCCCGACTGTTTCCCAAGGACAGCCCCAGGTAGAGAATGGTACAGTAATCCATCAGAAACGGGAGGCCAATCTCTCATATTTTTTCCTATCTATCGTGTAGTGCAGTAGTTAGCAACTTTGGCCACTCTGTTTCAGATTTCTCTTGTGCTGACATTTACTGATGTTCAACGTTTTGGCACATCAGCTGTGATTTGGGAGGTTTGTGGCGCTAAATTGGAGGGAAATGGCTTATACTGGTCATGAATCAATTCATGAAATGTGTTCACAAACACAGACGTGCCTGCACTGACTGATCATTTCTCAGAGTGAGTCATGATTAACGTTGGCCGTTTTCCTCCCATTTGGCACCCTTTTTCACTTGGAAAGACACCGCTGGTCTCTTGATTTGTCACGAGAGAAACCTAAAAGTAGTACACAATTCCAGATAACCAGTGTGGTGTAGTGGATGGAGTGGAGGACGGACTCTGGAGACCTGGATTCGAATCCTCACTCAGCCATGGAAGTTCACTTGAGGGGGTGGCACCCACAGAATCACACCTTAAATGTCACACTTTCTTTGAAAACCTTGTTAGGGTTGGTTCTGATTTGATGAAACCTAACCAGAGTACGATTCCACAGTATTAAGTCCCTCAAAATAGTTTATAAACAAATCGTTTAAAAGTCAATTAAGTCGTGCCAAAGCAAGGAAATGAATGATTACAATCACTAGGGTAATTGACTAGGTTGGTGATCAAGAACATGAATGGAAAAACAAAGCAACCTTCAGCTGTGACTGGGCGGGCATTTCGAGTCCACCCTGCCCTGTCATCTCCTATTTATCTTCCCAGCTATAACACCCACTGAATATTCCACATGCATCGAATTGCAAGCAAAAAAGAACTTT